GTTGTGTGATATGATGTTAACCATAATATTCTTTAAGTAGTTCTACTGTATAGATATCAACACAAATGACTTTCCCCTAATATTTTAAGAGATGTTTAAATTGAGTTTATATTTGTCTCAATCCTTTTCTTTCATACGATGCAAAATAATAGTCATTTAAGCACTTTATTCCCAATTACTTAATCAATTTATACCATTATTCACTTATTCCAGTTTATATTTATATTATGTTAAATTCTTTAAAAAAATATTTTTGCATGGTTTGCAAATACAAATAATTTTATTAATTGTTTATTATATTACCGTTATCTCGGACTTTCAGTTGCCGGCAACTGTATCTAAGTTTCTGATAAGGGGGGCAATAGTACCTAGGTATACTTGCTCCCTATTTTGAGCTCATTTTTCAATTTTTGTAAAATGATTTATTATTGCCCTATTGAGTGAAATAACTAAACTTTTCATACAAACTGTAAAAAATTTTTTGAATTGAGTTACATTTAAAAACGTTAACAAAATATCCATATTAGAGTCCAAAGTTAGACCAATTTTTGAAACCCGGCCCGACCCAAACCCTTAGTGTTCTTTAATCTGAAAGCCTGACCGACTTTCAAAGTTTACAAAAATCATAAGTAATCATAACAAGCAACAATTTATCGACATTTTGGGGTCGAGTTATGAGAAAATATAAATACTGTGAGAAAATTATAAGGAGTTTCTAAGGGTTTGGGTTTTTAAGGGTTTTGATTTCTACAACGGGAAACCCTTTCCCGATCCCGCCATTAAAATTCAAGCCCGTTCCCGTCCGAAACCCTTAAGGGTCGGGTCGGGAAAGGGTTTCCCGTTGTAGAAATCAAAACCCTTAAAAACCCAAACCCTTAGAAACCCCTTATAATTTTCTCACAGTATTTATATTTTCTCATAACTCGACCCCAAAATGTTGATAAATTGTTGTTTATTAGATTTAATTATGATTTTTATAAACTTTAAAGCATTATATGAATGTAGGTTTAATGTTAAATTTCAATAAATGTTCATTTGATGTTAAACTTGCCGCAATTTTATAGTTTTATATTTTAAGGGTTTTTTCGGGTTCCCACGGTTTTCCCGGCATGAGGGTCGGGCTTCCCGATTAAATCACTAAGGGTTTGTGCCGGGCGGGTTTCAAAAATTGGTGTAACTTTGGAGTCCAAAGTTTGGACCCTACTACTCTATACTGTATCTGAGATATTGAGTTAGAATTGCATGCAATTATATGTCAGTTTCTGAGAGGGGGGCAATTATACCTAGATACTATTGCCTACGATTTTGAGAAACCCAAAATCATCGAAATTGAGCTACAGTTGCCGGCAACTGAAAGTCCGAGATAACGGTATAATTATTAATAAAAATAAATATTTAGAAACAAATGAATAATTAATATAACTTTATAATTCAGGCCTGTTACATATTAGATAACAACTTTTTTGGTCTTTAAATCAAATTGGAAAGTTTGGCTAATTTCTATTGTAAAGTACACAAACTAAATTGGTAAATGTTTTAAATGTCATAAATACTCATTTTCCAGATATTTAAAATTTTAGATTAATTGTGGATTATCAGCTAAAAGTAGCATCAAATGTAACAATTCATTAAACAAAGTTATAAAATAAATTCTGTATTACTCACCATTCATTTTAAGATTATTTAATGGTTTGTTAGAAACTTTTAAATATTTATATGAATATTTCTAATAGTATTGGTTATTTAATGATTAAAATTGTTGTTTATTATTCAAATATAAATTAATTTTGTTCTCATCAAAATACTACATATACCAGTCAAAATTTAAAAATAAAACTACAATAATAATACATAATATAAAAATTGTAAACCATTTGCATTGTATTGTTAACTAATACTGACAAAATATTAATTTTATAAAGTATAATTCAGTTATAACTATAAAAATTATCATTTATTTATATTATTTATGATTAGGAAATATGCTATACAAGCAATGTTTTATAATTTATAAGTCCAAATAAATTTTATGACAATTATAATAAAAGTCCAAAAATTGTTTTTATCAAATTAAATGACAATAAGTAAAACACGCTATTGTATTTCTTATGTAATTTCAAGTACTGCTGTAAATATAACATTATTAGTGTATTAATAGATTCAGAAGTACACTATAAATAGTATACAATACAGAATACTGTATTATAAGTGAATTTTCAAAACATAAAATATTTGGCCTCTTTTGGCCACTGAATGATGTTTTCGTGTCTTATCTCAAGTGAAGCCTTAAAAATAATAATAAAAAGTAAGAAAAGACAAGATGTGTTCAATTAAAGAGAAAACCAGTCAGTCTATTGAGTATTCATTTTGCAAAAACATATAATAAAACAATTTATAAGATTCAACAGAATTTGAATGTGCAGCTCTTAGGTTTAAGGCAAATGTGGAAAGTATTGGCTTCGGGGCAGTGGTGGTCGTCACCGCACGGGTCACTGTTCTCGCGGTGGCAGTCGATGTGATTGTCAATGGGTTACCATTGGTTAGCGGAGTCGATGACAGTGATGGACGGATAGAAGCGTTTGTCTTGAAAATAAAAATTCAAAAATTAAATCAATTATAAAAACAAAACCAAATCAATAGCCACTAACTGTTGGTCTCTCATTGAATGTCGGCTTATCATTGACTGTGGCAGTGGTGGTGACTACTGGTGCGGCTGCCTTGACGGGCATTAATTTGAAAGTACTGGTGCCCACAGACATCATTTGAATGAGTTGTGGCACCGTTTTGAGACATTCGGCCAAATTGTCGAATCCGTAGTTCTCGAAATCAAACGACTCTTTGTATTGATGTCGATATCTGGGGGCGAAGTTGAAGAGCATTAAGCCGTCCTCCATGTCAGGCATTGCCATCAGTCTTGAGATCTTCTCCTACAGACACAAACACACCATTCATTTCAATCAATCAATTCGTAATGAAAACACAAAAATCAAGTGACAATACCTTGACATCGGCGGGAATGCCATTACTGGACGGCCTCTTTGGTCCGTTGTTCACGCCATTGACTTTGATGTCGGGGTCAGATCTATTCAAACGTCGAGACATACCGGGGGGCGGCTCCGGTATCTGAGAGGCGGGTTTAGTGATGGAAAAGTTGGCAAACTTTTGGCTCATTTGGTTCACGAGACCACTGACCGGATTGCGAGCCATACCGTTCACAACACCGGTACTGCCGGTCCTCATATAATTGGCGGCAACAGCCGGCGCCATACCATTGACAGCAACGCCGGCGCCTCCATGTCTCAGATAATTGGCCACTGGAATGGGATTCACGGCTCGGGGCGCAAGACGTGGCCCTACCGTACGGCCAACTCTGCCGCCGCCACGACTACCGCCGCGACTCATGCCACGACCGCCCGCTCGTATACCACCCGTCCTCCAGTTCCCAGTGGGAAAGGAGGGCCGGCTTCTCGGGGGTCCCCTCTCTTTGCTCTTATTCTGTGCGCTCACGAGTGATATGATGTGCGCCGTGTCCTCATTGGCGACCGGGAATAGGACAACGGTGTGGATGTCCTGGAGGTCGCCATACATGCGAACCGTATCGGCAATAGACCTCAGCAATGATGTCAGACTCGGGAACCCCAGCTCGCGGTACGGGATCTCTTTGCCTAACACACCATGGGATCAGCAATGGGTGACAATGGATGGCAACACAGTTATGGCGCCAGTGGTGGACACACTTACCCTCGATATCAAAGTACTCGTTGCACAGCCTCTTGAGGCCAATGCCTTTGGGGTGTGGGATGACCAGCGATCTGATGATGCACTTGATCTCATTCAAGAGGTCCTCGTTGGCCACTGCCATCATCGGTGATAATCAATGGTAACTCTTAGTCAATGAAATGGTGTCCGAAGTGACACTCATTCAGCAAATACTGTGAAACCGTTTGTTATATGAAAATGTTGTGCAATACTGTACTGCAGCTGATAATGGGCTGTTCACTAATGATGTTACGTTCATCACTTTGGACACTATAATAGCCCCCTATTATGATGTGTTTTCTATTAAGTTACAGAATATTCATTAAATTTAAATATTGAGATTTAGTTTATTTAACCATAATTCAGTATTGGTAGTTTCATGGTCACTTTTAATTGTGTTTTTTGGTAAAATTAATACTCTCTGTGCAAGTAAAGAAAAAATGTATTGTCAAAATTTTAAGTTAAAAGTTTGCGAATTAAAAACCTTGTATGAATTAATTAACGTTTTAATTCTTGACAAACAATTCTGTAAACATGGTCATACGAAATGATTTATGAATTGTTTTAAATCATACATGCAGTGTGAAACTGGGAAAGTTAGGTTATTTTAGTGTCTTTCTTGGAGTTGATTTGATTGTTAATTAGTGGACGGATATGAAAGCATTTACGGTAATTAAATTGAATGGAAATAAAGTACATGAATGAGTGTATTGTAATGCAATACTAGATACTATTCCTGTAACACAGTCTGTAAGAGATTCTCTCTATTCTTACAATCAACTTATCACACCATCTCATTATAAATCTCTCTCTCTCTCTCTCTCTCTCCCCCTCTCTCTCTCTCTCTCTTTCTCTCCATTTGTCAATTGTGATGCTTTGGTTTACAAACTTGTTGAATAGCGTGTACACTATTTATTATACATTTATTATAGATGCCATGAATATTGTAATGTATTTTGTAGTTTTATTGTCTACGAATCATTTGACACATTGTCAGTACGATATAGAGTTGACTGAATTGTTTGAATTTTGTAGCAAAAGACAAGTTCATTGGCTCAGCTTGTTTAATACAGTATCACACTTAGACTAGTAGTGTAGCATCTTATCATTCTGTATACTTCATAAAAAATTTAAATTTGAAATTATTTAAGTTATATATTCTGATGGACAGGTTGCAAAATATTCATTAAAAACTTACAAAAGTCATTGAACGACAAATAAAATGATGCAGAATATGAGCAAACATGCTATATAGAAGTTATTAATTAAAATGTTATATTAAATGAAGGTTTAATAATAAATATAATGTAGATAGTCTGTAGATTCAGAAATAAAATATATAAATAGCTTTTTATATCATATATACATAAAAACGATGTTGTCTAAAATATACCGCTTTGACAGAATTTGCATATTTAATCAAATAGTTTTTGTTTTATTTTGAACAGTTTTCTGAATAAGTATGCTATTACGTAAAGAATTTTTGTGAATAATTTAATTAAATAAAAATATTTGTTTTCAATTATTTTTTAATATCTAATTTTATAAAGGTATATAAATGGCATTGCTTCAGTTAATTATACGCTTGTAGTTACGTTAGTATTTTAATAAAAATTTTTATAAAATTTTGTTTTTTATTGAATTCCATAAATTTTCTAATCTAAATCTCTTTGAAATGATACCATTTTAAAAAATTAAATAAATAATGGGGGTGACATTTTAAAATTAAATTTTAAAGCATAAGTTTATTCAAAAGAAAGGATTTATATAAAATAAGCCTATTTTTAGAAAATCATATCATTTGTTGCATTGTATTCATAATACTCTTAGTTTACTAATAAAATAAAATCGATTTTTACATATCATGTAACGATTGATTTAAAAGGACAGCCACTTATATAATATAGTGGAGTGTCTTTTGAGATCAACATTTCAGTGATAGGGCATACTTTTTTAATACCATGGACATTCATTGTATTATTGAACAGATTGGCATCGAAAGCATATGATTTGAATGACTAAAGGCAACTTTACGAGAGTGAACAAGGTCTATTTAATTTATATGCAATTCTTGATTCTTCATCGGAATATTCAATTCAATTGTCATTCAAATGATTCACTGATTGTAACATTTCGTATGCAGTATAAAGTATTCATTGGTGTACCATTAGATTAGTAATGATATGTAAACCTTGATAACAGTAAGATTAAGATTATTATATAGATAAGAAATTTATACGAAACTAATGTTAAATCATAAGTGATTTGATTTAATGTAAGCATACTGTACAGTACACATAATGCAAATAAACATAATAATAAAATATAATGTTTTACTTTAATTTCCTAGAAATATAACATAAATTTATATTTTTATATTTATGTTATATTTTTACTTTTCGTTATATATTTATAGACAAACTTTATCCGTTTAACAAACGAAATAAAAATATTTACTATTTATAGGTTATTAACAACTATAACATTCTTAATAAATAAATCAAGATATATTAATAAATTATTTATTTGTATATAAAGTAAATTTTCTATATTAAGAGGCAATTTCTATATAGTTATCTACATAACAACATTATTGTATGTTTAATATTAAATTAGCTAGCATAAAATTCATTTGAACGTGATTTTGAACATATGACCCTGAGCTTTGATTAGTAAATATGATGTTATTTTGGTCACACAAATTGACTATTTATTATTTAAACCTTAAATAAGTTATTAACATATTTTATCATACAAATACACAAATTAGCAATATAATAATGTTTTTAAATTAATTGAGCAATAGTAAATTTAAATAATTGATTACAATAAAATAAATTATTCATTAACATTAAAATCTCCCTAAATATTCAAATCAAACATTTAGCCATATATAATGAACCTGTTTGTTGTTTATTTAAATTAAGATTTGTTTGAATAATTTAAATAAACTTGTTTATTAACGGAAGTTTTAAATTAAATTTACTATATTATGCATCGTAATTTAATTTAAAACCACACGTTAACATAAAACATATTTACAAACTCATTTATATAACGCTCATGAATACGGTAGTATATACTTTCAAGTAATGTTCAAATTAATTTTATTACATAACTTGCATAAATGTCAAATATTTAATATAAAATTTATTTTTTTATAAAAAAGTTTATTTTATTAAAAATAATATGCTAATTTTATTTGCATTTAAACGTGCATGATGCGCATATTATAAATTGGATTAATTTTTAATATGCATTTATTGGTTAATATTCTGTGTATCATATGTTTTATTAAATAAATTTTTGGTATATTATTCTTATATT